CTAAGAAAATGGACAGGTTCATCCTGGAGAGGGTTAAACCAGGCTGCTCCTTGGAGGCAAGGATTCTGAAGCTCTATCTCACATACATAGGACATGTTTCAAGGAGAGACCAGTCCTTGAAGAAGGATGTCATGCTTGGGAGGGTGAAGGGACAGCGCAGGAGCGAAAGACCCTCAATGAGGTGAATTGACTCAATGACTGTGCTAATGGAGATAGGTGTATCAGAGACAATGAGATTGGCACAGGAGAGCAGGGTAGGGCTGCTGTACATAGGGTTGCTATGAGTTACAGTGACTCAAGGGCACATAACAACAACAATGTAAATAAGAGTGTAGGGAACATAATGTGCATGCATGAAACACAATGTATGTGAATGATAAAATATTAATAAAAAAATAATTCTTCTGTCACCTTGTTGAGGAGGATAGGCCAAGCAATAAAACTCACACCTTTCAAAAGAATTTTAATCTAACTGAAAACTAGAACTGAACACATAAAAAATGGTTTAAGGTCCTCTGAAATCTACCCTAAATAGTTAGAAGTATAGTAGTTCTAGTTATAAGAAAGAGTCCCTGAAAATCTTAAAATAGTAGAGATAAATCTTGCTTGGATGAAACTAAGTATGCACCTTTTCAGGTCTTTGCTTTTAATCCCATGTTTGGCTTTGTAGTATTCGTGAGAATTTCATTCACTGATAGAAATTGTGTGTTACCATCTCTGTTAAGTGTGAAGTGTTCATTTTTCAAATCTATATTAAAGGTCTCTTAGGAAAGCCTTCATTCTCTTGGGTTTGTTGTTAATGGTGAAATTGGGGGAGCCAGTATATATGAGTAGTGATAGTTAAACAGATTAGTTGTAAATCCCTGTCCCTTCTCTCACAAGAGCTACATGCTTTAAATCACTGTGAATTAATTGACTGATTTCAGGTAGCAACTGACTGTATATACATTAGCGATACTATGAAAATCTTGAGGTTGTTGCGGTGTACTCTCTGAACCTACCCATAGATGACCCTCTGGTGAGTTTTCAGGGAAGTGAATTGCACAGAAAGAGATTACCCATCCTTCTCCCTTGGTGCAACTGGTGGATTTGAACCATGCGTCTTTGGGTTGAATTCCTTAACAGTAACCCAACAGGGCTTCCTATTATTAAAAGTTTAATGGCAGACAATTTTTTCCTAGCTACACACTCTGAAATAGATCTACTTAAATTGAACAGAACTGGGAGAATTTTTCTAATAGAGAGCAATCGCAGGCTATCTCTTTTTCGTGGTCCCAACTGCCCTTCTATTTTGTTGCTTTCAGCCCAGGAGGAGATTGAAAATTTAATACTTACGATTGCCCTATTTTATATTTCTACACAAAGACCAACTCTAAGCAACATAAAATTTCCTGCCCTTCCATTTTGCTTTCTCTTTCTTTTTTCCATTTGTGTTCGTTTTCCTTAGAAGTGTTATTGCAAGATTTGAAGACTATCTCATTAATGATACTGTCTAATTTCTAGCCTCAAAGCCTTGGTACCTCAGCTAGTCTATTTCCAGGTGAGCTGAGCTTTCCTATAAATGCATCTGAATTGTTCTCTGTTTCTCACTGTGGAGTATTTAAAGAGATAGCATCCACATTTCCAAAGAATAAGTACAGTTTTAGTACTTGGAAGTAGACAAAGAAAAGTTCTTACTTGTTCCATTACAGATGTTGATGGGTTATCTTTTCAGTCTCAATTAAAAGAATATGTAGAGCATAGAAAAATACCACCAGCTTCTCCGTGGGAGAAAGATGGGCAGTCTCTCTCTGTGGTATTAAACTGCCTCTTTTTTTTTTTTTTTAAGGCAGCAATCAGGCTGAGTTTATAAACTGCCTCTTAAAACCCATTGGAGATTGAGCTATCAGTCAGCTCTGACTCTATCATGCACACAACAACAGTGCCTGTTAATTTAGGTGCAAAAATCATTAATGAATTATAACAACTTAAAAATTCATTATTCTAAAAATGAACACTCTTGGCACCAGCAGCCAGGAAATAAAAAGATGTATTGCGATGGGAAAGTCTGCTGTTAGGTACCTCTCTAAAGTACTTAAGAGCAACAGTGTGTCTCTGGAGACAAGGTATGTCTGGTACAGGTCATGGTCTTTGCAATCACTTGTCAGAGAGCTGGACAATGACCAGGGACGATAGGAGAATTGATGCTTTTGAGCTTTGGTGTTGGAGAAGAGTG